AAGCTCGATATCAAAATTCTCGAGGAACCGACTAATATCGAGATCGAGGATAAGTCTCCCTATTTCTCCACGGGATTACAATTATGTATCGTCGCTGGATCGAGATCCGAGCTTCGAAAGGGTGCTGTTGTCCGGTGGATCCTCGGGATGTAACGGGGAAACACGAAAATGGCCGGGGTAGAAACGGAAAACGAGGGCGGATGGATTCGTTTGAAAACGCGGCGAAATCTTTTTATCCGCTGGTCGACAGGTAGCGGAAGTTCGGAACGAGTTGGCTGGCGTGTTAATTCGCTCCGCAAACACAAATAACCCGAGTAACCGAGCGGCTGGCGTATTAACACGACTCGTTAACGAACCGCGTACATCCGAAAGTTCCGCGTTTTCCCGGCAACCGGTTGCCAAATCAGACGAAACTCGGTAATTACTTTCTCACTAAGAAACTAAAATAAAACAGGGGTGGTCTCCGATGCCGTCTAGAGACGGCCCTGCACGTTTGTCCACGGACAATTATTTTCCCTGCAATTCCGTGTCATTAGTCACAAGCTCCCGGTTATTAGATACCAGTTCGAAGTTCCGTCATCTGATTTCCGAGTTCTGAGTTATCGGTTACTCGTTCCAAGTTAAACGTCCAATAAATATACGCGCGGGACTTAACGGAGCCCGAGAAACGTCGATGTATCGCTAAACAATGGCAAAGAATGGCCTCTTTCCCCCTGTTCGATGGAGAATAAACGGAAACGAAGAAAATGGGGCATCGAAATCGGGAAAATCGAGGATCATTGGATTTCCGACGAATTGCAGCCCATTTAAAAATTCATCGGACGCTAATTATGCGATTAACGGCCGGACAAAAACGATAACGGAACTCCACCGATGGGATGCAAATTGAACGCGCCTTGTCTCGTGGCGGAAAAAATCCGCGAGCTGTTGCGATGGATCGAGCGATAATGGTTATGCGAGCGGACTGATTAAAAATAAGTCACGCTCCCAATGGCATAGTATTTTTAAGCCGGTGCTCTTAAGCTGGCCGAAAAACGGATTTAAACGGAACACGAGCCGGTCTGACCGTCGGGAAATCGGGAGTTACGATTGGTTTTTCGAATCCACGAGTATTTCGTGCAAAAACAGACGGAGACGTTATTTCACCCAGCCAAGTCGTGTGTCGTTTACCGTCAGCGGACAGAAAGGTTCCCACGGCTGCGGATTCGTGCCAGAAAGGAAAGAGAGCTCCTTCCTCCCTTCCCCCAAGCTCTCGTTTCCCTCTTCCTCGTATTTTTTCCTCGCATTTCACCGCGTTTCGAAACTCTCTCGGTATGACATCTCGCAGGTTGCTCGGCGAGCAGTTTGTCTCTCGCCACCGTTGACCCGGTTTCCGGTCCTTAGCTCGCGAGCTGAACGTTCGAGGTTACGCCCGAAAAGTTCGAGAAACGAAAACAATCCACCCCCTTTTGAATTTATCATCCACCGTCTAATTCGTCCGATTCTGTTCGATTTCGTTCGTTTTTCCTGGTCCCGAGACAGCGTCGACATGGCCAACGTCGATGACGAAGATCGGGACGCCAGTTAGCTCTCGCCTAACGGATGGGACGCGTTACGGGGATGCGATCCTCGAGATTCCGTTGAAACGAGGGTAGATGGAATTAGCGGAACGGGTGGCGCGCGGAATTCTTTTTCTCTCTACCCCGGCCACGGGAATCGTTCTCGACCGTGCAATCGAAAACTAATCCCACGGTTAATCGCGCAAATCGACGAGCGGAGCTCGCGTGCGCGCGATACCGCGCGATTACCTTGGCGAACAAACGAACCGATGGATGGTCCCGCGGCCAAGTTCAGAGTTTTCTAGTAAGCAACAAGTTGTCGCGAACGCGATTACTCGTTGGCTCGTAAATAACGAAAAGCAGCAGTAGCGCGGCAGCTTCTGTCCTCTCGTTCTGCTCGCTCGATCTCTGTTCGCCGACCGCGAGGAGATTTTACATAAATTTAAACGGCAGTTCCGTGGTCCAGGCTGCGAGGTGTTCTGCACGCGCGCGGACTTCCGGCACCACGGTGTGCTTTCCGCCGCTGAATAAAACGAAAAATTCCGCCACCGTTCCGTCGCTCGTAAAACCACCTAGGACACGCGTGTTCTCGGGCTAGGTAGCGCGCTGTTTCGCCAGTGAACCGAGAACTTTTGCGCCACCGTGTCACCGTCATGGTTCCCTGGGTTCCTTTCGAAAATCGTACGGGGAAATGAAATTCTTTAGCACGGGTCGTGCGTGCGAGTTTATGCTAGACTATCGATTGCGAAGTTTATAGTGAAATATCTGATCGGGGAAAAGATAGTGAGTTTGGAGAAGAGAGAAGATGCGTGAGGTTGAGGAAGAACCTGAAGAGTGCTCATGTTATACATTTTAAACTCCTTGTTAAACATTATAGTTTTATTGTTCTCAGGATTTCGTGTTTCCTTTCACCTCGCGAACCTTCCACCACCATCATGTGGGACTTAAATGAAAATAACTCCTACAATACGACGTTGGCACAACGAAGGTTTAGTTGCCATAACTGCCGCGAAGATTCGTCCTATTCACCCATTCTCAACCGGGAAAGTTCTTCGATACAGACCGGAGTTTTCCCCAAGATAAGTCTCAGGGCTGAGCGTTTGGATCGGTTGCAGGATTCCTTGGGAGTTAAAGAAGAAACGACACTCGCGGCTGCAGCCGCGCTTTAAATAATGTTTGAATAAAAAGGTGGAAAAAGTTTTTCGGTTAGACTGGCTGCTCGAAGCAGGATTTACAACGGGGAGGGAGAATAACCGGCCACCCTGTGCGCCCTGTCTGCCGTGTAGTCGAGGCAATAATAAAGTGAGACGTCGACGAGGGTGCGGGGACCGGAAGCGAGAGGTGAGAGGAACATCGAGGGTAGGCGAAGTTGCCGCACTCCGTCTCTCTGGATATTCAATTTCAATCGGATTCCTCGAGTGCTTCATCCCTAGAATCCGTTACAAAAGTTCGGTCGCAGGGCCGGCGAACCGGACCGATTTCGACTGCGCCCCGTCCGACTCGGCCGTGTTTTAGAAGTACACGGGGTTCGAGGTGAAACTTGCTACCCTCCACCTTCCAGCAGTCGTTAACTTTCCTCCCAGGCGTAACCCATCTTCGTTCTGCACCCTTCTTATTTTACTTATTCCGATGCTGTCCCGATCCAGGCCGTTGGACGCCGGGAAACGGAAACGCGTGTTCCTGGGGATCAACTACGCGCCCTGTATCCACGAAAATACTCCAGCGAGATATCGGCTAATTATTCCGAGCCGAAATTTTACATATTTTCGCGAAATGTAAATGTCCGTACGAAGGGGTTTATAGGTGAATGTGGAGCGGAAGCGTGGCCGAACACGCACGAATAATCGTGGGAGGAGAGGTGGAAGAATTAACGATGGTAACAATTAATTAATACATTCTCGATAATTAAATGGGGAAATGGTAATGAGAGCCGCAACGGAGCGTTATGCTCCGAATACAGCGAATATATAATTTTGCAGTAGGAAATAATTGATTGAAAATCGATTAATAAGCATGTTAACGTGATATCGAACGGCCACGATATCTCGCGAAAAAAGTATCGGGATAGACTGTTTAATTAGTGAATACGCGTATTAAAGTTATAATCTACTCGTGCCCCCCTAACGTTTCTGTATATTCATAATAGAATGATCGATCGACGTCGAAGCTAGCTTCGAAGATTACCTTAATGCGACACTACTCGTGGAAAACGTTGAAACTCGATTCCTAGCTGCTCTGTATAATTAATGAACTTTTGTCCTAACGAATTCCCGACCTCTCTATTGCGTTTCACTCCGCCATGCTGTGTCGACGCTAGCCCTAACTAGCGGCCGCTTCTTGCAGCGCGTAAGCTCGGTAATCGCGTAAAAACTGCATGGCCGCCGACAATCAACCGCGACAATGTCGTATACTCGACCACTCGAGCACCGACGCATTAGCGGTCTCAAAACTGGGCCAATTATGCCTACGCTGGCACAAAAATTATCGCGAAAACAAACTTTCCCTCTCCGAACTCTCTCCGAACTCTCTCCGTCGAGAGCGGAGGAAAAATGTCACTCGAGATCCTTCCAGCGGGCTATTACGCGGAAAACGGTCGAAAATTGCGATATGTCGTAAACGGGATGATTTCTAGGACCAATATACGCTACGGTTTGTCGGTTTTCAACGTTCGAAACGAGTACCGTTCATACACGACGATAATACGGCAAATTGTCTAACTATAGAGTCTATTGACAGAGGCATGCACGTAGGACGGCCCAATTGGGGCGTAATTGTTTCAGGTTACAAACCTCCGGTAACAAATCCACAAATCTACCGCAGAACAGCACGCGCAGTCGAGCTCTTCCGGCACACGCTCGTGTTTCTCCTAACGATATTCGTTATTAGTTTTAACCGTTTTCCTTGGTCGCATGTCGTTGACTTTTTCACCACGATCTACCCTTTTGAACCGATAGAATTACGTAAAAATTTCACTCTGTAAAAGCCGCGTGCGAAACGTAATATTTGACGCGAAATCGTGGACAGATACTGTTCTATAGGACGCGAAACGTAGCTTCTATTATACGCGCCGAGATTGCCCTTACCGTTGGCCGTTACGCAACGGACGTGTTGACTACCGAGCAAAAACATCGGGATTCTCCGCGGTACCAGGAACGGCAAGGGACGGTTGGGTATAAGGAGAACGCGCGCGAATACACACGATTGAAAACATTCGCCCCACCCTCGGGCGACGCTTCGGAAAACGGTCGCGTCGAACGAGAGATTCATGGGTGAACGACCGATACAACAATATATCTTGACTTGAGAATTAGTCGCAGTTTCTAGCACGTATTCGTCGCAATTTCTCGAATGGGGGGGATTCGTGCATAACTACGTGTTATATACCACTAAGGGGTCTACTACTACGTATTATATACCACCATTGGTATTCTACTACTGCGTATATTACTTTAATCGTCATACCTTACTCGTGATGCTTGACGTTTACTCGGCTCGTCACTCCCTCGCTCCTTCCGGGAAGGACGAACAGTGCCAGTGGAGAAGAACAGCGAGAACACACCTCACATATCACACACAGGCATCGCGGGGAAACTCGTGGACAAACGTCGGAAGGGATACCCGTGAAAGGGATTGTTTTCGTAGAGAAACGAATGCGTGACGGGGGACACGTAATGGCGCGAGATCGCTTTTCAGGCCGTCAGCGTTCCACAGCGAATTCACGCGAGTTTCCGGCGTGCGACAACGATAGGAAGAGAGACAGAGGCAGAGAGGCGGCGCACAGACACGGCACGCGCACGAATTTGGTCGCGCGTTCGGCCACGAGAACGAAAAGGGGAAGGAGGTTCTCACGTTTCACGACACGACGCACGCACGGGTCACTGGTAGCATCGAACACGATGCTTGTAGCTCGAGGGTTGCCGCGGTACTGCGAGCACCGCGCCACTCGGCGGCTGACCGTGCGCCGCGTAGCTGCTCCTTTACTGTCCAACGCTCTGATTGGCTGCTGCGTTCGCGCCGCACCCCGCCATTGGCCCGTTCGAAGCGGCGCACGCGCCCTCGTCCCAACTGAAACTTAGTACGACGAAATTCATACGTATAAATGATATCCTTGTTTTTCTAATAAAGAAAACAATGGCTGGATTAACGATTCATGTTACTGCATAAAAGATGGGCATTTTTCTTTACTCAGTTTGTGACGGCAAACGCGTTCAGGGAGGAAGAGAGAGAACAGAATATGCAAACTGAAATTGCAGCTCTGTCTGCGGTAATTGTAAATGTTTCTATAACGGCGCGCCGGTATATTCGAGAGTGTAATTTCACCGACACAATTATAATACTAGTTGCCACCCAAGCCCCTTTATACCTAACGCTTCGCGTTGCTTTCTGCTTTCAATTCGAGCGTGCTGCGTTGAATTTACATTCTTTGTCCGCAATTTATCGCGTAGTAAATGTAATAAATTTAATTAACCATTTAACCAACGACATTTTTCTCGCTTCGCGAGCTACTAATCCGCTTAAAGATTCAACGCAACCAACGTTAAAATAATTCTACGAATTTTAATTTTCAATTATGTTTACAGGAAAAGCACAGAAATCATAGCAAGGAGAACATGGAAAACTCGACAAGGGTGAAAACGAGGGTGGTGATTGGACAAAGGTTAACTTTCGTTTCTCACCCTCGTCTTCGCCGAAGTTACGACACGGATGTTATATCCTCGAAGAACGATGGCGTAAAAATCGGTTGTTCGACGCCGTTGTTCGACGAAATACCGATCTCGCCTCGATCATTTCCTACAGAGCCATTTAACCGAAATTACCCGATTCGACACAGACGAGTGACAAGAAGCGAAGAGAAACGAAGCTGAAACGAGAACGACCACGAGCGCGTAATCTTGATTTGCGACTGTTTCGTGATAGCAATCGATGATAAGCTTACGATGATCGAACCGGTCTCTCAGAACCAATTTGCCGTTTTGCTTACACGTTATCGCGCGAAGGATCGAATATGCAAATAACACGTATACAGGGTGAACGAAGACAGGGGTAGAGGGTTCTAAAAAGAAAATGTATCCGCGTAAAACTTCATGAACAAAGGCTACCGTTTTTGCTTCCTTCGGTACTAAGCGTTTAATCGTTTCCGAAAGAAAATTTAGATTACGAAGTTAATGTCGGACAACGCCTGGCATCCCTCTTTGCCACGGAAAAAAGAAGCAGAAGAAGAAGTGGAAGTAGAAGAGAAATGGAGAAAAGGCCGTCGAACGATTCACGTGACTTTGGACCGTGAGGATGCAGTTGCCGAGTCGGAAGGGAAACTTTCGCTCGTGCGATGCTCTTCTTTTTCCTTGTACCTATCCTTTTTTCCCGCCTCCTCTTCTCCGTCTTCTTCCCCTTTCTTAAACGAGAATCAACCATTCGACCCAGCCTCATTAATTCTTTTCTTTTCCCCGAGAAAAAGTTGTATCCACGACTCGCGTCTCTGGCTGCTTCTTCTCCCGCTATCCGTCCGCTGGTCCCTCTCATTTTTCATTCGTCGCTTGGAGAAAAGTGCACTTTAGCCGTGTCACCTGTAGACAAAGATACAAAGGAATATTCCGTGCGTCTGCGAATATCACGTAGCCGGGCCACTAGAATATTTCATACGGTACCATGAGTGCATGTCATTGCTCCTGGATCCGTGTTTGTAGCCTGTCCGAACACGTGGGACGTCCTATCTATCCGCATGGAAGTGCATATGGACGAGCCAGCCCAGGATTCAGCGATGCAGCTGATGGGAATTGATGCGTTTACTTATGTAAAAATTTCTCAATAATTTCGGAGCTTGCACGGACTAGAAAATTCAAACGGATTTCGCCCCTGTGCCCTCGGCGTCGCGCGAGCAAGCGTCAACATTACCATTTCGACGTCGGGTTTCATCGATCGGCCATCTTTGTTCTTTGCCCAGTCGTAAAATAAGGATTTAAAACGGCATTTACACGGTATTTACCTTCGAAAGGAACAATCCTCTGCCCAGTTCGAATATGACGTCCGACAATAGGATCCCGGGGTGTAAGCGTTCGCGGAAGGGGCGCGGTGAATCATTTACTTTAAAGCTTGTTGCGTGAAAGCAAATAGCACTTTCAGACAACAACGGCTCCTTCGGTAATTCCGGAAACACGCGAGAATGCCCGCCCAGCATAAGTACTAATGAGATCCAGGGAAATATAATTATTTAAGCAAGCCGACTGCCTCTCCCCCCGTATCGAACCGCACAGCTCGATATACGTACACCTCTGTTCCAATTATTTACAAACCCGTCTCGCTCGCTGCAATCTGCACGTGCAATTAAACGCAACGACGAGGAATATAAACTCATTCGCGACGCAGCGCGATTTAATTGAAGAACGAACGTCACGCGTGGACGTCACGCGGTGCTTCTGCGCTCCGTTTCTTCCAACGAGATTTAACTATCGCCACGATTCTAATGGATCGAGAATGCATTAATCTGGAGTAAAACACCTTCGTGGGTAAAACACGCCGCTCCTGGGCTGAGGATCCACTGGAAGATAGTAAACGAGAACGGATCGTTTACTGATCTGGACCTCGGTTGAAACTTGGCGAACGCCTGGGATACGTCTTCCTCCTCTGGCCACATTTTCAATCTCGCCACTCGTTTCCCCGAGAAATAGCAGACAAGCAACGAGCAGGATCATCCACAGACAGATTACTCCCCCTGTAAGGATAAACTTTATCACCTGGCTGGACGATAGGCGGTTTATCGAATTCCGTTCGAATGATGGATCATCGGTTGCTAAGCACGAAATTCATCTTCAACGAGTATCTCTCGCTATACGCGATGAATTATCGATACATACTCGAGACATACTCACAGGTATCTCCCACGTTGCGTTTGCTATACCGTCCCAGAGTGATAGATGAGCCCATCCTAAACTGAACGGTACCCTCGAAAACACGATGCTCGACCAATCAAGACAGCTGATGGCGCGACTCACTCAGTGACGAATTCGTGTCACTCTGTTTCCCTGATTTTTCCAATGTGCTAGAATCGTAATCCAATCGAGAGGGTTGGAGAAGTACTGCGTAATCTCCTGTTGGGACTATGTTTAATTATAATTTGCAATAATAGCCGATGATACTGAAATTTACGCTTTTGAACGACGCCTCGTGTCCGGTGAGTCGAGGCAATATAGAAGTCTAACTAGAATGCATAATGAGCAAGTAAACACAGGGTCACGAATTGATCGGCATTTAGGATTTGGCTACTAAAAGACCGTAACGGGTCTTTTAATGCTTAATTCTACGTCTATGTCCTAAAAAATATCCTACGGTAATTTTTCTTTCCCCTATCTGGTTCTTCATCGCGTTAATTTTAAATTCGCGGAATCGGTCAAGCCTATACCACCATAGAAGTCAAGTATAAAATACATTGAACTTAATAAATTAAGATAGATAATTATAAGTTTGATATTTTCGAAGCTTATTCGACGTGCTCGATAAATTATTTACCGATACCCGGTTTCGTGTTCACGTTCACAGCTAGCTGGAAAGATTTACGCGGCAACAAATACCAATGAAGCGTGCAACGTCTCTGCTCTAAAATTAGTTAGATTAATCTCCGTTCATCGTCCTCGCTTCTCTTATATCCCGCACATTTGACAACCTTCAACCCTAGCAGGTGTTTATCAACATCTTGCCACGGGGAATCCGTTACAGCAGCCACGGCAGCGAGACAATGAACATCCCGCCATCGCCGTAATCCCGGTTCGTTGTCCCCTTATTATCAAAGCCGTGTCGCGGCAGTTCCCCCGATGAAATTACGTAGCCCCCGGAACGGTACGCGGGCGGCCATAATTTTCTTCCGCGCAATTGGTCGCTTCGCATTACGTCCCCGTTTCCGTCCAGCCCGTGCTTTCCACGGCTACCACCTGCGAGCAGCCCCTTTTTCCACCTTTCACCACGACCTCGTCCTCCCGTGGCTTTCACCCCCGAGGGAAAGTCAATGTCAATGCCTCCTTCACCCTGCACCCCTTCTTCCGCCCCTTCCGGCCTCTTCGTCGGTTTCTCGAGGTCGTAGCCAGGTTCCTTCGGCTTCTTTTAAGGGATTATGACGAAAAGCCGACGGCAGATCGAATGGTTGCCGTCGGTGAGGCGTTTTTCACAGTCCCGGGGCGAGGAACGCGTTTTTCCACCCCGAGGATCGGCGTATTCCGCGCGCACGGATGCCTTCGAAAATCGCTTCTTTCGCGAGCAGACGATGGAACACGCGTGCGGAATACGCAAAAGCCGACTCGGGATTTTAATTGTTTCGCTCGTCGAGGAAATCAACTGTCTCGGCCCTCCCCCCGATCTCGATTCCATCGAGAGACGCGAGTCGTCGCGGTGCTTCCAAGACGAGGACAGACAGCGATTCGCGTAATTTGCCACGAAGCGATTAATCGTTTCGTCGATCGTCCCCGCGGCCGCGATCTCGTTGGTGCAGCGTCCTCCGTCGGGGAACAATTGTTTTCGAGTTTCCGCTCGGCTAGCATGGACAGGAAGCAACGCGAGTCGTCGCCTCCTCTTCTATCTCGCACGGTTTTTAACGCGACCAGCTTTTAATAGCACTTAACCCCTGTTAACGCGCCACTGCCTTCGAGCTTATCGACGTGTTCCTTTGTTGGCAGGCACGTTAACGATTCCATCGGCTCGAGCGATTCCCGTGGCGCGACGCGTTTACCAGTCATCCATTAACGTCGATGATTAATCGGCAACGATTGATCGATGTCTCGCCGGCAAGCCGGCTGTCATCGTTCGCCTATCGACCCGTGTCGCGGATCCTTTTGTTAAGAAAATGCTTCGATTATCTCGTGGATCGAGCCGCGGTCATCCGCCATTTATTAGCCGCGATAACCGCGTTGACTGTCAGGGAGAG